AGTTTGGCAGCATATAAATTTAATAAGTAATAAATATGCTTTTGGGAGCAGGCTCTGCTTTACCCTAGTGGTTGCCAGGCAAGGCCCGCCTTTCTCCTTTCCGAGCCCCTGAAGGTGTCCCTGATCCCGCCTGTTGTGAGAAGGGGACGTTGCAGTGGGAGCTCCTGGAAAGGAAGGCCCAATGAGCCCCTGCAAACATTTCTCCCCAGAGCATTTGATCTTGGTCCCTGGCCAAGCTTATTCTGTCTAGTTCATAACAGTAACAGCACAGACCCTTTTGGGATGAGCTGCTGACTGACTGAATTCTGTCAACTGACCAACAGGCTGGGGTTGACCAAGGAAGAGCAGAATTCTGTGCCAAGTGATGCGGAGAACAGGACCACAGCGGCCTCCCCAGAAGGACCTGCCAGGGCATTGCGCACTCCCGTGGCCCACCAGCCTGACGGGCACTTCAAGAAGCGCTCGCTCCGCTGCCGAAACCGGAGGAGCCGGCATAAGCTGCGTGAGCCGGAGCCATCCGCGCCTTCCGAAGAGGCATCGTCTGCGGAGGCAGCGCCCGCTGATGAGAGAGAGGCAAACCCAGCTGCGAACACGTGCCAAGGAAGCAGGGCGTCTCCCCAGGCAGAGATGTCCCCAGAGGTGGCCACGGCCCTGAGCAAGGTGGACGATGCGGTGGCCGTGGCAGCGGCGGCGGCCCCAGACAGGATTCCAGGCCTGGCTCTGGGGCCGCAGGATCAGCAGAAAAGGAAGTGCTTCGAGCATTCCAGGCCTGGCTCTGGGGCCGCAGGATCAGCAGAAAAGGAAGTGCTTCGAGCATTCCAGGCCTGGCTCTGGGGCCGCAGGATCAGCAGAAAAGGAAGTGCTTCGAGCAGCCCGCCTCTGCCTCTTTCCCCGAGAAGAAGCCCCGGCTCGAGGATCGTCAGTCCTTTCGTAACACAATTGAAAGTGTTCGCCCAGAGAAGCCGCAGCCCACCAAAGAGGAGCCCAAAGTCCCTCCCATCCGGGTAAGCGAGAGTCGGGTTGCTGCTCCCTGCCCTGGGGTGGCGGCTCTAGGCCTCCCTGCGCAGCCTGGCCCAGCCTGATGCCTCGGGCTCAAGTAGCCACGGGGGGCACTTGCTGCTGCCGCTGCTGCTCCCCCCCAGCCAGGCATTCCATTCGGGCCCAGTGCAGGTTTCCCTCTGGGCCAGGAGGCATGGCTGGGCAGCCCTGGGGGCCCTGCCTCTCTCGCATGAGTGATCTGGGCGGCGGGGCAGGTAGGACGGGGGGCATAAAAGTATCTCAGCAGGAATACTTGTGCTGGGTTGGTCCTCCCGGCCTCTTTTTCCTTCTTCTGGAAACAGAAAAGGCCCCGTGGCTGTCCATCAGCCAAAATGTAGTGGAGCGTGCTGCGTAGCCTTGGTTTGGCTTTGCTGTTAAACACTAAAACCAGGTTTAGAACTCAAACCCTTCAATGATTTCTTAAGACCACTAAATGCAGCAGAAGACCCAGGCCTCCAGGCCTCTTTCCCAGGGTACTCCGGGGGTTGTATTTCTGTGAGGGGAGCCTTCCCCAGCATTCTTTCGGAAGGGAGCCTTGGCCATTAAGTTTCTGCACCTCAAGAGCAGAATTGTAGTTTTAAAAGCAGGCTTTAAAATATAGTTTTAAAGTAGGCTTTTAGTGCACAGGCCTCAAGGATGGTATCCAACTCCCTTGTTCTTGTCTGTTTTCTTCAGATTCAACTTTCCCGAATCAAACCCCCCTGGGTGGTTAAAGGTCAGCCAGCCTACCAGATATGTCCTCGGATTATCCCCACTCCAGAGCCCGTCAACCAGGACCGACGTGGGACCCCAGCCTCTGCTGGCTTTAAGGCCTGTCCTCTGCAAGGGAGAATCCAGCGAGCGACTGCTGCTCCTGCCGCCACCATTGGAGGTGGGGGTGGGCCAGGAGGAGGTGGAAGGAGCCCAGACGAGGGCGGCGGCGGTGGCGGCAGGGTCCGGCAACCCAGCAGCCACCGCTCCAAGCACTGGAGATCAAAGAGAACTCGCGGGAAGCGTCTGTCAGATTTACAGCGAACACAGTTATTGTCGCCTTCCCACATAGAAGCGAAGACTGGCTTGGAGGTGCCTGAAATGAGCTTGCCGCCTTGTGGGAGAGAGCCCACAATGGAAGGAGGTCTTGGAAGTGGACAGGCTGTAAGCCTTCGTTCACCTGAAGCTGAAGGTGCTGCCCAGCTGGAAGAGTCTTTGGGAGGCTGTCCCTTGGATGGCAGTAGGGCTGCATTGGCCCTTGATTGCATAACTGCGGAAGTGCCAGCCGGTAATTCTGGGCATCTTTTGGACGATTCAGGTCATCAGCTATCTCCAGGAGATGCTTCTCTGGAGGGTCCTAATAAGGAGAGGAGGGAGCCTCCCGTGAGTAGCCCATTAAACAGTTCCTGGCTAAAGGACTCTGAAAGCAGCCTCCTCAGAGGCCCAAGCAGGAAGGAGGGGTGTGAAGGTGACCGTCCCGTCATGCTGGACTGCTGCTCTGCACCGAAAGCCATCTCCACCAGTTCCCTTGATCTGGCTTTGGGGAGCAGTGCGAGAGATGGCTCTGAGGCTTCTGGCTCTCCTGCATGGGAGGATCTTCCAGAGAACTCCAGCCCTGCGGGGATGGAGCTTCCAACATCCCAGCCTCAGATGGCCAGACCATGGCACGGAAGAGGGGCACTGAGTAATGCAGAGGAAGCTTCTCAGTCCAAAACAGTTTTGCTCTCTCCTTGCTTGAATGGAAATGCAAGGGTCCATAAGAGCCACTGTCCCCCAGCAGAGGCACCGCTCGGGACGGAAGTAGAGGTGGACCAAGAGCCGGCAGATGTAGGGCCAAGCATCAGCCCGTTCAGTGGCGAGGAAGCCCAGAGTCTGCTAAGTGAGACAACAGAGACTGCCTCTGACTTGGAAGCTGAGCTCACAGATGAGAACCTGGAATTGAACCGGGATTGTAGCAAGGACGAAGAGGGAGAAGTTGCATCCAGCCAGAGGCACCCGAAGGAACCCAAAGAGGTCGACTTTGAAAGCAGGGAGGATTTGCCTCCAGACGTAGGGGTTGCCAACTCACAGGGCAGGAGAACGCTGCCTGCTCCTCTCCTGACCGCAGGCAATTCGATTCTCCCTGCTGAGGTCGAAAGCCAGGCTAGGCCACGCTTGGGGATCCCCCAGCCTCTGTCTGTTGAAGCAAGCAGTCCCCTTGAGGTGCAGGTGGTCACACAGAGTGTGCCTCCCAAAAGAGTTCTTCCAGGGTCTCCCTGCAGCACCAAGGCCGGGGCTGCAGCCTCTCCTCTGCACAAGCCTCCGGCAGAAAGTGGTTCCTTTCCCGGGGGGGCTAAGAGCAGTGAACACCTCGTGCAGGAGACCTCTTACGAGGAAGGGATGGGCGTGAGGGACACAGCCAGGAAGGGCGCCTGCGTCTCACAGCCTTTGCGGGACTCTGCTGAAAGGCCATGCGTACCAGAGAGAAGTCCTGAATTTAGTCCCAACTCAGGCTTCCCGGATCAAGCCGTCCATCAGTCCCAGACAGCGGATCAGCTGAGTCTGGGAAAGAGATGCTCTCCCGATGTTTATCCAGATAAAACAGATTCTCCCCGTGCAGAATCTGCTGCTGGCGGGAGTCTGGAAGTGCAGCTCAAAACGGCCTCAGGGCCCCAGCTCCCCCTCAGCCTGACCTCTCGGGGGCCGGAGCAGATGAGGAGCGATCCCGCTGAGAAGCCCCCCGGAGCCCTGGGCAGGAAGGTCTTTGGGTCACGCTTCTCCGGTGGCGCAGCAGCGAAGGCCCAGAACCCCCAAGCGCTGGAGCCCTTCCCCATTTGGGGCATGCTGTCTCACAGCAAACTGGTTTCCCCCCAGCCCAAGTGTTTGGCCCCTGGAGCCGGCGTGCAGCCCGCAAGGGAGGATTGGCCCGCAAAACCCCCACGGGCTCCTGCAGGAGATGGCGGGGGAGTTGAGAACAAGAAGGGCCTGGCCTGCTCTGGCTCCGGCCAGAGGAAGATGGAGAAGGCGAAAGAGGCCCCGCCTGGCCCTGCGGAGTTGACGAAGCACTTGCAGACCCTCCCCCTGGCCAGGGACTTGCCTTTTTTCAAGTTGCCGAAGGAGCCGGGGAAGGTGGCCGTGCAGCCCCTGGAAGCTTCCTCCATCCCTTCTCAGCTGAATATCAAGCAGGCATTTTATGGGAAGCTTTCAAAGCTGCAGCTGAATTCCGCCCATCTTAATTATGCCTCCAGCGCACCCTTTTTTCCCAGAAGTCTTGAAGGAAACCTGATGCCGTTCGGCCACAAGGCAAGCTTGGCAGCTTCCCGTGGCGGGCTGGCCTTCTCTGCCCAGATGTTTGCTGAGAACAGCAGCATGGAAGAAATCTCCCTCAAGTGTTCCTGCAGCCTTAAAGCCATGATCATGTGCAAGGGCTGTGGAGCGTTTTGCCATGACGACTGTATTGGCCCCTCCAAGCTCTGTGTGCTGTGCCTTGTGGTAAGATGATGCCTGCAGCCCTGGAAGGAAAAGCTGTATATTGAGTGGGTTTGGAGGAGGAGGAACCTGTATGCAAAAGATTCTGGTCCTAACAAAGCCAGTATTGATGCTATATGTCTTGGGTTTTCCTGTATGTCTAGAGTTGGCAGATCAGTCATGGGGACAGGCTGGTTTCAGAGGGTTTATTCTCACGCGCCTAGGAACTGTTGAATATTTGGCCTGCTTAGCACCCTGCCTGGAACTGTTCTTGTGCCGTGAGCCCTATCAGAGCAGGGGGGGGGGGTGTTGCTTCTATGGGAGCTGAAGCTGACCCCTTCCTGTTTGAAGGCCACGTTAAGGAGGCCCAGCTGAACCAGGATTCTGTCTTCCATTTTCTCTTCCTGCCACCTCCCTCCCCAAGCGCTGGGTAAGTGCAAACAGGAAATAAATGACTGAGCTTCGGAGCTGGAATGCAGGAGGAGGAGGAGGGAGGCTGAGAGCGCCTCCTTTCCTGTGTCTGGCAGAGGCGAGGTGGGTTCTCTGTCCCAGCAGTCGAGCTGTGGGAGAACTTGGACTGTCAGCGAAGGTTGGGCTGGATACCAAGTTTTTACTTTCTAAGCAGTGTCATCTTTTCTTTAAAAAAAACCCCATACATATATAAATATAAATCTATAATATAATTTTTTTTTTGTTCTTGGGTGTAAAAAAGTGGATATGTTTGGCTCCCCTCTGTACCCTCTATGCATCTGTAGGAATCATGTGTTCATATGTTGTACACAGTACTGGCCAATTCTGTAAATTGATGTTAATGTACATAAAGCTTTTTTAAATTCCTTTCATTTTTCAGGCTACAACAGTATTGCATTAGAGTAGTGTTGGTTATGAATCGCTGACCACATACGGCGGCTGTCCTCCGTCCTGCCTCACCCGAGACCGACCGTGTCTCGCTCACGGCTGTGACCTGCCGAGTGGAGGGGAAGCGGTGAGCCAAAGGGCAGGCCTCAGCCAGCTCCCCTGTTGTTGCTCCCCACCCAGAAGTGAGTCCACCTCGCACAACTGAAGGCAGGAGAGGCAGGACCCGCTCTCTCCCCCTTGGGAAGTGCCTGTGGGCAGCGGGTTTTCCCCCCGAAGGTGAGGGAGGAAGCCGCGTCTCCGCTACAGGAGCTTGTAACCTCCCTCTTGTCCTTCCTTGAGCTCCTACCTACCTCTTCCTTTCTGGACCGATCTCTTTCCTCTTTGCTTTCAACCGTAGACCTCCCTGCTCAAAGTGATAGAAGTGTAAAAATCTGGGCCTCCTGCCCGGGGACGGGGGGCTCATGCTTGAATCAGTGGGATCTCCTGAGTAGGGAAAGAGGGTGAGGGGAGTTGTGGTCTTAAAGGCGAATCCATGGATGGACTGAACCTGCTTACCAAAGAAGGGGGCAACAGGCTGCCCCCTCTGACCCTCCATCCTCCAGGGCCACGGCTGTGTACAGATGGAGGCTGGGCTGATGGGGAGGGGCAGTTCTTGGTCGACCCTGATGTTATATGTCCCTTGTGGTATGGAGAAAAAAATAAAAATAAAACATTTGGAACAGCTTGATGTGGGTTTGCAATGTTCCTTTTCCAATGGAATTTGTGTGTGTTGTCGGTGAAGAAAGGGACAAATGCTGCAACCAAACTGAGTTGAAATAGACTCCCCCCCACCTCCAACGGAAGAAACAACGCCCCATTTCATTTCCTCTGGTGGTAGGTGCTCACGGTGCTGCTCTGCCTTCTGCTTTGCCGTATGCGAGACTGTCTTCGTCTGACAGTGCTCGGGTTAGGCTTGTGTCAAGCAGAACTGCTTCTCAGGGTTAGCTGTCTCTCTGCAGCCACTGGGGGTGTGGAATGTCCCCATCCTGCCGTCTTTCAGCAAGGATAAATAAAATCCTTGTTTGTCCCTTTATTGCAGTCCAGGCCTTGGGGGAGTAAGAGGTGGCTCTTTTGTAGTGAAAACTCTGTCCTGGACGCTCCCCACCAGCTTTGCAGCACTGCTGCCAAACTGTTTATGGGCCAGGTGCCATGGAGTGTCCTTGATAGGTGCTGTCTAGTTGGGGATCACTTGCTGTAGTTTTCTGCTCCAGTTTATCATGCACTGAACTATGGTGGGGGGAAAATGTTATTTAGGAATTAATATGACTGCACCTCCATTGTGAGCTTAGTCAGGAGTGAAAACGAATGCACCCACTGTGGTTTTCAGCTTTGGGTGCCTGGAAGGGATGAGTTGCCCAAGTCAATAGGGAATTGTAGGGGCTCCTGTACATGGGCAAGAGGGGTTGGGGAGTCAGCCCTGCTCCTTTGGGGGCTGCAGCCAGGAGTAATCTGCAGATTCTCCGGTGCCTGGGCCAAGAGAAGCCACTGCCACCGCGCTGGAAGGTGCGAGATGCGTTCTGTTTGTTATACAGTGTTTATTAAGTAGATTCAGTCTTATATGATATACAGACTCAAAAAAATCCACATACTTATGAAATCAGTGCATTTAGCAAGTAATACCATGAATGGAAAGAACCGCTTGATTTAAACAGCTCGTTGGTCTTTAAGTGAATAGGACAAGGAGATTGGCCTGTGCTACTCATTTCACAAACAGAACAGAATTAAGTTGCATCACATAAAACCAAACACGCGATCTAAGAATTAAAATATTAAGCCACATTTACTGGAAAAAGGTCCACTGTCTAGAACACAAAAATATTTCCATAGCACATTGAGGAAAGAAGTCCTCATCTGCTTAGAAGAGCCACGTGAATTTGCATAGGTGCCTGTTAGGAAGAACTTTCTCTTCAGAGGAATTCCCACTGATTTAAGCAGGGAAGTGTCGCCTTCTCAAGCTGCTTTTAAGTGCCTTTGTTTTCTGTTTAGTATCTCTGGGGGGAAATGGGTGGGCTTTGATCACGCTCGTAACTGCACCGGAGGGCTAATGCCTCGGCCGCCTTTCTTCCCGAGGGTGGCCGTGCCTCGCAGCTTGTAAACCGCGCCCTGCCATCCTGCAGTTTGGCTGGGGAGGGGATTCCTAGCAGGAGCAAGGAGCCTGGTGCCCGCCAGCAGTCCACACACCATCTTCTGCATCTGTTGACGGCCAGCACGCTGTCGGGGTCCAGGAGCCATAGGCTAGGAGGGGCCATCCCCTTGCCTGCCCTCTGCTTTAGCCATTCTCTGAGAGACCTTGGTGCCAGGCCAGCCGCAGGGGAGAAAGGGGGTCGGCCGGCCTAAGCCCTTCCTAGCAGTACAGCCCAGGAGGGAGCCGTGGGTGCGGCGTGTTTACGGAGAGCGGCGAAGGGAAACAGGTTAGCGGATCTGTGGCTGCACTAAGCAGATGAGGAAGGGTGAGGTGGGTCTTCCTCGCCAAGACCGGGTCTTGCCGAACACAGAGGGGTGCTGGGAGTTCTGTACATGTAAACAGTACACTTTCACTGAGTCCAAAGTCAGGAGCAAAAAGTACAAAGGTTCACATTGGTCTTAGGTACATACAGGTGAAGAACTGAGCCAATCAGCTCGGAAACAACCACCAAACCAAACTTTCTAAAGCACCACTAAATGGTATAAAAATCAGACCATGGACAGATTGTAATTGGTATTCTGGTGAAATTGCTAGACTACCTTGTAAAAAGTTTTACAAAAAAAATACAAATCAAAGTTGTATTTAACCCTCTGAGTTCAAAGCAGCATTTCTCGTAAAGGAACTGGTACTAAATGTTACGGCCACCTACGAAAGAATCGGCCTGTAAAGAGGGGGCGGGGGCTGGGGGGATCCTCTCTGCAGAGGGTCCTGCAAATGCCTTTCCCAGGGTCCAAATGCTGCTGTGGGAAAGCAGGGGGTGCTCTTTGCCTCGCTCGCTCGAAGACGGGCCTGCTGAGTGCGGGGGGGGGAGTGGCAGAGCCCCTCCTGCAAATACGTACCAGAGAACTGGCCTTCAGCAGAAAGAGGGGTTCCTCGTCGGTAAGGATCCAGGACAGACCATGGGGGCGTCCCAAGAATCTTACGAAACATGGCTTCTGGGGTCCAATAGGGATTGCAGGCGCTGCGCTCGCCAGAAGGCATCGCAAACTCAAGGTGGGCCGAGTGCCAGCCTCTTGGTGACCGTGGGAGCCCCTTCTGAGTCCCAGACGGTCTGCCACTCATGTACAATGGGGCGGGCGGGCGGACAGCCACCCGGCAGTAAGGGGCCTAGTGAAGAGGGCCGAAGTTACACCAAAGGAGCTTCAGCTGCGTCCACACAGAGCCTCTGGGCCACCCACCCACCATCACATGGCTCTGTGTTCCTGATGCGCCCCTAGCTGCGCCAAGGCCGCAGGCAAGGAGGTGAACTCCGCTCTTTTCCGGACGGCGATTGTCTCTGCCACTCTTGCATGCTAAGGGTTTTGTACTAGGGCTGTTGCTCGCCAGGACCTGGCACAATAAATATTTACACAAAATCAAAGTTGGCAGGAGGAACAGCAGGACAAGCATCTCTAGATTGTGCAGGCCCAGGAGGAGAATCAAGTCAGCAAGGGGGCGGCGGAGGGGCAATAAGGTTGTTAGCAGAGACGTTAATCCCTTCCTCCCCTGGAGAACCCCTCCTCGTCCTCAGGAACGGGTGGGACGCAACAGAGGCCGGCCGGTTCTCCTTCGCAGCAAGCCGAGTGCTCCCCAGGCCGAGCACAGCCTGGACGAGGGCTCTGCAGCGGGTGGCCCTGGGCTCAAGCCCCAGGCTGACTCCGGAGCGCAAGCAAGGGAAGGAACCCTGCCAGGCGGATGGGCTTAGGCATGGAGTGATGCAAAAATGAAACGGGGACAAGTTCAAGAGGCCCTCCCGGGATGGGCCTGTCCAAAATGCGAGCGCGCCCCCCAGCCTGGCAGAGGCGGCTGTTCCTTGGCAAAGCTGGGGAGATGTGGCTGGGGCAGGGCAGGGCAGGGCAGGGTGAAGAGGGTAAGCAGGTCGGCCCGAGTGTCACCCCAAGCCGTTTCTGGTCGCTGCTGCTGTGGCTGCTAAGGCCGCCCAGTCTCCTCCGTTCCTAATGTTAGCAGCACTGGTCAATATTGCACTGAGCAAAAGCAAGTGCATTTGCAATTGCATGGGCAAGGCAGGGGGGCGGTTGGAAGAGGAGGAGGAAAAAAGGGGGCCAGTCCCCTTCCACACCTCAAAAAACAGGCTCTGGCTGCCACCGTTCTTTGCCCACCGGGCTACGGGCTGCCTTTTCAAGACAAGCCTACCGCTGTGACTTGCGGAGGAAGTTCCGTTTGCGGGCTCTAGCTCGCCCCCTTCCACACACCTTCCGTTTTGGGGTGCTATGCCGCTCTCTTGCGGGCCCCGCAACAAGGAACCACCCTGGCCTCCTCAAGGGAGAGCCGGGGCTGGCGGGGAGCGCCCAGCAGTGAGGTAGAGTGTGGAGGAGGAAGGCCAGGGAGCTGCTGAGGTTTTGCCACAGAGTGACCCCCCCCAAGTCCTCCTGGCAGGACGACTGCGGTCCGAGCGTGGCAAAGGGGGCCCGGGGCTGCGGCCAAAGGATCACTTGGCCAAAGGGAGGGAGACCCGAAAGCGTCCCCCCCCTTTTCCGCCGGCTTCAGAGCCTCGCTGGTCCGTTTCTCCTCCCTGCCTCCCGGCTCCAGGAGCTGGACCGCCGGAAAGCGCATGTGGCGGTGCAGGATTAAACCTCTTCCTCACTGAGAGACACAAAAGTGGCAATTCTGTACAAACTCAAGAATCCATTTTTAGAAAAAAAAATAAATTATGGGGAAGAGAAAGAACGGGGAGAGGGTTGGTGAGTTTCTCAATAAATATGCAATTCCTAAGACGTGAAAGGGGCAGGAGAAGTGGGAGGGGGGCGGTGAAAAGGGCTCTACCGTTGCTGGGCTCCACAAGTAAATCCTGACCGTGCCCGAAGCTCCATCCACCCCGATCCCGTTTTCTCCCCAAACCACCATAGTCCTACGTCCTTCCAGGCTGCGGGGCTGGCTCTGGGTTGGCAGAGGGCGCTGGCTTGGTCAGCTTTGAAAGGCAGGCTCCTTGGGCCACAGGCTCCTGGTCGAAGAGGGATCTTTCGGGGTTCCACCTGATAAACATCAAGAACCTGTGCCAGGGTGGTGGTAGGCAAAGGAATGGCCAGTCCTGAGCAGATTATCAAGAGAGCCTCGGGCGAGCGGTGGACAGTGTCTTCCGGCACAGGAGCCGCAGGGAGGCGAGCAGTCAGTTCTGCTGTAAAATGAGGTTTTCCAGTTCATCTGCAGAGCGGAGGAGGAAGGCTGCGGATTCCCGGTAGCCGGCAATCAGCTGCCGCACAGCACTGATCTCGGTTGGGCTGAGCTGGGCGGCCGGCACCCCCCTGTTCGTGCTGTTGGCCGGGGGGGTGGCGCTGGACGTGCCGCTTTTCATGCTGAGGTCAGTGGGGCCTGCAAAGCAGAGAGGGAGGGAGACAGAGGTGTCAGGCCGAGGGACGGAGGGAGCAGCCCACCAGGGCCCAAGCCCCAACTACAGTCCGCAGATAGCAGGTGGGGCCCTGTGGTTTTTTCCAAAAATACTACGAAAGGGCTGTGCGATACTTCAGATTTGAGTCCAAAAAGGGGGTTTGCAGCGTGGTAGGTTGTGAAAAGAGCACAATCCCAGGAAAAGAGGGGGCTTCTTTAAAGAGCTGCAAAAAGGGGCTCTGCTTGCTCTCCGGTGCACCCCAAAGCCCCCTTTTCAAAAATGTTCCTGCAGAGCACTTTGAGCAAAAGACCAAGCAGAATTCGGATCTTCAAACGGAGCCTCTTTAAACATGAAGGTAAGTCAGTGCTACTCCTGCGCATTTAAGCCCCCTCTTCTTGGGGCTGTTGTTTGGGGCGCAAGTTTAGAATTCTACCCATGTTTCCTGCACAAGAAAATCTGTCTGTCTGAGTCAGCCAAAGGCGGTCAAAAAAGGCAAGGTGCTGGCCTGGAACACGTGATTTAGATGTGTTGATGCATGTAAAAAAGGGGGCTTCAGTTGCATGATTGTGGCCATCATCTTGACTTTTTTGCCCCCCCCCCCGGTGCCCTGATAAGAAAACACAGTAGACAAGACATCCACAGAAGAGGTGGGCAACCAAGTTAGAAAGAAGAAGAATCTGGGCAAACCAGGCAGGGGAAGGAAACGGGGGGAACCCCCTTCCTTTGCATGAATTCAGATCTCCAGGACCAGATCAGCTGCGCCTTCCTGGATCATGGGCAGAGGCAACGGGTGTCCTTACAAAGCACGCTACGGCTTCGTGAAAGGAAAATGCAGTTTCAGGCCGGATCAACAGGAGTATGATTTCCACTTCACAGGAAGTAATCGTTATTTGGGACAAAGATAGATAGATAGATAGATAGATAGATAGATAGATAGATAGATAGATAGATAGATAGATAGATAGATAGATAGATAGATAGATAGATAGATACTTCTTGGATGAGGAGGCTCCCCGGTCAGTCACTCATGCCCTGGTCATCTCTTGGTTAGACTACTGCAATGCCGTTTACATGGTAGCTATCCGGAAACTGCAGCTGGTTCAAAATGCAGCCCCACATATGATAATGAGTGCCCGGAGGATGGCACACCTAACACCTTTGCTGCGGGAGCTGCACTGGGCGCCAGTTTGCTTCCGGGTCCAATTCAAGGTGTTGCTTATCACCTTTAAAGCCCTACATGGCATGGGACCAGGTTACCTGAGGGACTGTCTCACCCGTCACATCAACCTATCCCACCCAGTCAGGCAGAGAGGGCATGTCGCGGGTCCCGTCAGCGAGGGAATGTCGGCTGGCAGGGCCCAGGAGGAGAGCCTTCTCTGCCGTTGCCCCTGCCCTCTGGAATGTTCTCCCCCCAGAGGTCCGGCGGGCCTCCACCCTCCCGGCTTTCTGAAAAGATTTAAAGACCTGGCTCTGCCAGCGTGCATGGGTGATGTGGGCTCTACCCGTCCCTGGGGGTGGTTAGCCCCCTGATGACGCTCCCTGGAATTACTTGCCAACTCTCCATCTTTCTTGGACCCTATTTATTTTTAGGACTGTTTTTATGTTGCATTTTAATGAATTTTATCTCTGCTGTAAACCGCCCAGAGTTGTTTCAACGAGATGGGCGGTGACCAATTTGATAAATAAATAAAAAATAAATAAATTATACACGGCTTTGGTAGACCTCATCTCCAGTAGCGTGTCCTTAAGTAGGACTCAGGGACGTTAGAACAGGTTCAGTGAAAGGCAGTGAGAACGATCAGGGGCTGGAAGCAGCTGGGGAAAGGCAGCCCTGAGAAAACCAGCTGATCTGGGAACACGATGGCCTCCTGAACACTGAATGTCGAGCTTTGTTCTCTCTCATTCGGAGTACAGGACGTGGAATAATGGACTTATACAGCAAGGCACATCCAGACAAAATGTTAGGAAACAATAATAAGAATTTGAGAGTGGAATCAATTACTGGGGAGGGGGCGGGCTCCCCTTCCCTGGACATAGACTGCCTGGTCTTATTTATTTACAGGTAATCCTCGGGTTATGACGGCAACTAGGACCAGTATTGCCGTTGCTAAGCAATGCGGTTGTAAAGCGTGACGCCACGCAACCGCACCGCTTAGCGACAGCAGTCCCGGCAGTCCCGGTTGCCATCCGAACCCCAGGACCATGTGGGTCGTTAAGCAGGGAGCTCACATGAATGCGAAATGGGAAGAGGCGGGAGTCCCAGGCAAGGAGTGGGGGCTGCGTGGGTCCCACAGGGGTCGGGCTGCCGCAGGCGGGGGAGTGTTGCGCATGAGCCCAATGCAGCGGAAGCTGAAACTTGCTGGGCACGTGGGACTCGAAAGCATCCTCCTTTGTGGTCAGGGAGATGGGATGACATTGATGGTGCTCCCCCCCACCAAGGGACTCAGACAAGAGAAAACATGGAGCACCATAACATTACCAAGTTTTATGAAGGCAAATGGTTCTCTGGACCAGGGTTCTCAACCTTGGGAATCCCCCCCTGCCAAGCCCATGAGTCTAACCGTCATGATGAGGGGCTTTGTCCATCTGCCTCTATTTAGTTTCTGCACACAACCGCCCCTCTAGAAACCAGACCCCAAGGGTATCTGGAAGCCAACGTGCAGATCAGAGGAACAGTCGGGAAGCTGCAGTTCAGGCTCATGGTGACCCTCGGCTGGGGAGGTCCAAAAGAGGTGCTGCGGATTTCACTGGATCCAGGGCGACCTCCCAGGCTCGGCCACTGCCCGGGCTTGCCCCAGAAATCTAGCAGCAGGGCGGGGCGCCTGTCGGGGCACGCAGGGGCCGTGGCAGCCTCCCTCCTTACCGTTACTGTGATTCCCTGTCTGGAGTGAAGGAGTCGGTTGCAAGCTGCCGCCCAGGGTCCCATAACTCCGATAACTGTAGTTCAGGCTCCCGTTGATGTAGACGGGATCTTGGGAGAAGGAGGAGGCTGGCAGTGAATAAGAGGAATGCGTGACAGCCGACGAATCCCGGGAGTGCTGCTTGTCAAGTGCAACTGGTTCGTCCTACAAGGAGAGGAACAAAGGACAGGTTGTAGCCCTCGGGGTCCCTCGGCCACCACAAGCAACTCGCTCGCTTGCCACCTGCCTTGCTTGCTCCCTTTTCTTTAATGCAGAGCATCAAACCTCTGGAGGCCAAAGGCTAAGTGAGCCCACCACGACTAGCCAGATGCTCTGGAGATCTCTCAGAAAGGCATGAAGCCAACAGCCTCCTTCCATCGTTGGCCCCCAGACCATGAGTGGTGGAGCCAGCACAGGCCTCGTGCTGTATTGCTCTCCAGCCTCTCCTCCAGGGAGTTCTCCAGCCCCTTTTCAATCTATCTAAGACAGGAGCCATCGCTCCACCGGGTGGCAGAGAATTCTACACTGTGCAAAGAAGGTCTCTGTGCTCTGAATATGTACTAATCAAATTAGGAGCATCAACATTATTAGGGGTAAAAGCATTTCTAAGACCGTGTCTTGTACCATATAAACTTATTCTGCTGGATCAGACACCCTGGCCCATCTAGTCCAGCAGACTGTTCTCCCAGCGGCCAGCCAGCTGCCCAAGGAAGCCCACTGGTCTCCCAACAGACGACAGTCCCGCCCCCATCAAGGCTAAGAGCCAACCCTTTGAGTGGCAAGCTAGCTTGGTGGTGGTGATTCTCAGTTAAAACACCCTAATCTTTTAAACTGTTTTTCCTCAGAAAAATGTTCCTGCAATCTGATAACTTTGTTTGCCTCTGGACTAAGTTTAGTGCATTAAATGAGTCCACATTTTAACAATGTAAGTTCTTTGACTTTTGCTAATTGAGCAGAAAGTATCAACAAAGTGTAAAGCCCTTTAGGAGATACATCAGAGCAAATTCAGTTAACTTACTTTCAATCTATCAAATACTGTCAAAAAGAAATGAATGTCATTAACATGCTCTTCTGCAATCCCTCGTAAAAGGGACAGGCACCTTATCCAAAGCAGCTTTAGAACATCAAATAATGCTGATTAACGTGTTGCTGACGAATCAACTAAAGTTTAGTTAATTTCACTGTGTGATGTTTGCAGCCTATGATGAGACGATACAGCATGCAGATGTGCTGAACGGCAGGAGAATGGCTAATAAAAGTTCCTCCCAGCTGAACATGTATTTGGGAACACGTTCCCCCAACGCAGCTGTGGCACAAGGAACCACAGAAACTGCCACCCCCGAGACCACCATGGCCAGGACCACTGAGAGAAATAAGTCTTCCCCAACCCCTTAATCCTTTTAACCCAAAGTCGTCAGCAAAGCCGTTGACGTGTGGGGGCTCCCTAGGGAAAAGCCACAAGCAAGAGTGCCACCATCTTTGATCTCCCCACCGACTCCGGAGGCACCGCTTGCAAGCTTTCTTGAAAGGCACAACCGGCCCATCTTCTTAAATATAAAAAAAAGATTATAAGCAAGATCTGTTGGGGAGGTCATCCATCAACACAGGGTCAGATATCAGCATCATGATGATGATGATGATGATGATGATGATGATGATGATGATGATGATGAAGATACCCAGTGACTCTGGGCTGGATAGGGGTTCTAGTTGAGTGGTTATCCCAGAGTTGTGGACTTCAACTCCTAAAGTTGCCAAGATTGAGCAGCTCTGGTCTGGAGGCTGTGAGGGTCTGGATGTGGGGGAAGAGACTCATGTTTAAGCGTACCATGAGAGTGCCTTTGGGTCTGGAAACCAACGGAGGCTGGGGACATTCCCTTTGGTTCTGGATAAGGTAGTGCTCCCTCATATAGCACACATTTGTAGCTTGGCAATCCTCCTGAACTCACAACTCCTGCTTGAGGAGCAGGTGGCCACTGTGGTGAGGAGGTCATTCGCACAGCAGTATCTTGTGTGTTGATCACAACCATTCCTAGATCAGATGGCCCTACTCACAGTCACTCATACTTCAATCACCTCTCAGTTGGACTAGTGCAGTGTGAAAACTGCAGCTGGTCCCAGATGCAGCAGCCTAAGATATTGTGGGCGCATCTCATTTTGCCTGGATAACACTTCTCCTCCAGGAGCTGCATGGATTACCGACTGGCTTCTGGGTGCAATTCAAGGTGCTAGCTGTCACCCTTAAAGCTCAATGTGGCTCAGGAACGGGATATCGTGAGGACCTTCCCTTACCAGTGATGTCTGCCTAATCCCAAAGAACTGAAAGGGAGATCTCCAAACTCTGACAGAGTGTTACTGCTGGGGCCATGAAGGTGCATCTTTTCAGATGTTGCCCCGCTTCTATGGAACAGCATTCCCCCTGAGTTTGGATCAGCATGAACAAAGTCATTAAGATCTGGCTTATCCAGGGAAGTGTCTGAGAACTGGGTCCCCCTTGTATGAAGCTGTGATTAAATACATATGGTCCTCGGGTTATGACCACTCGTTCAGCAACCATTCACGCTTATGATGGCGTTGGACAAATGGTAGTTATGACCAGTCCTTGGAGTTCCAGCTGGCACAGCGTCCCACAGTGACGTGACTGCAATTTCCGACATTCCCTGCTGGCTTCCCGCAAGCAAAGTCAGTGGAGAAGCTGGCAAAAAGTTGGAAGTCATGGTTACATGAGGTCCTCGCTTAATGACCTGCATGGTCCTCACTTAACAGCGGCAACTGGAACCACCAGAACTGCCATCCCTAAGCGGCCTGATCGATTCCAGTCCCAGTTGCTGTCGTAAACCAAGGACTATCTGTATTTTGGATCAGTTTTCCTCAGCACGATGTGATGCTTTAATTCTATGTTTTTCACTGTCCGCCATATTGTTGAATTGGGGAGCATAAGCGCTTATTATGTTAGAGTCAGTTCTAGGACTGAAGTGGCACGTAAACGAATTCTGATCACGTAAGTTTTGGAACCAAACCAGTACCCCGAGTCAAGGATGGGGCGCAGAGGCTCGGGGACACTTATCCCCACACCCAGTGCCGGAAAAGAGTTCGGTTCCGGGGCCGGTACCTGCGACGTCTGGTAGATCTCCAGCCGCATCCTCTTGGCTGCTTTCCGCGTCTCGCTCTCACAAGCGGCCGCCAGGATGTTCTCGGCCATGGCTGAGGTCAGGTGAGGGGGGGTAGGCCTGGTCTGCAGGAAAGGAACATTTTCAGGAAAGCCAGCAGCTGGAGCAACTGAATATGGCTATATTTATGGCTATGTAAGGTTCAGTTGAAAAGGTAACACGAGCAACTAAGAAGGCCGAGAAGGGGAAGAAGAATGAAAGGTCTAAAGCAGTGTTTTTCAACCTTGACAACTTGAAGATGCGTGGACTTCAACTCCCAGAATTCCCCAGCCGGCATAGGGAATTCTGGGAGTTGAAGTCCACGCATCCTCAGGTTGCCAAGGTTGAAAAACCCTGGTCTGAAGGATGTGCTGACAAGACATTTGACTTCCTGGGCCTCAGGAGCCCCACCACCGGGGCATTGGGACTGCAAAAGCCCTGATCCACATCCAGGACATCAGGCAGTCACCTGAGAGAAGGCAGTCTTGGTCCCAAGTGGACAGGCTCTCAAGATATAGCCAGCGTTTTCCACTGTGCGCAGCCACAGACCAGAAACACCGGGTGAAATAATGGGTGTCATAACGCAACCCCCAACAATTCTGCCTCTGCCACATTTGACACCAGGGGAAGCCCCCAAATGCCTTGCCAAGGCAGCCCCCACATAAAAGCCTGTGGCTAGATCTGGACCCGGATGTGACCAATGCAGGGGCCAAATTATCCAGGGGCCAAGGGAAGCAATCACGGCTACCATCCAGGAGCAAAACTGTGTTGAGGGTGGTCTTGCCCTGTGGTGGGGCTGATTCTCAGACGAAACGCGTCCGGAGCAAGCCTTAGGCCTACAGCCTCCTACTGGTGATCAGCACCCGGGTCTTGTCTGAACTGGCCCTCTGTTTTTTGGCTCCCCAACCTCAGGATCGCAACCGCTTTCCAAAAACCCAACGGAAACAAGAACCAGGTATCACCCCATTGACAACCCCACAACCCAAACCTCAGGGCAACGCCTCCAGCCATTTCACGGGTGTTGACTCACAGCCGGTCTCAGGGCCTTACTCTGAAAAAGGTCACCAAGAGGTGGCCCTGATACACCGGCGGCGTTTCGAAAGAGGAAGAGTGGCAACCGGGAGGCCGGCACAGAAAAACAGGAGGCCAGCAGAGCAGCAACGGGAACACTCACCATTTCCATGCCGTTTTTCTTCATGCGGCGGCAAGATTTGAGGTAAGTGCGGATACGTTTGCGAGCTCGTTCCTGGAACTCTGGGAACTGCCTGCTGCAGGACTCAATGATGGCCTGGATTTTCTCTTTGGGCTGTTTGGAGATGGGGACCATGCGGTCTAGGTTCTCATCCACAAAAAGGCGTACAAACATCTGCAGAAGCAACAGGGAACAAGTCAGGCCCCTCCTCCTCCTGGCCCGCGTGGGCTACCCACGGAACGGCGGCCGGCTCAGGCCCTCAGCGGGGGCTGCATCGGAAGCCTTCTGCCGGGCCAGCAAGGCCTCTCCCGCTGGGAGTCGGGGGAGCAAGGCCGACCCTCCCCTCGCCACCGGCGCAGCGCCCGTACGTTGAAAGCCTTTAGCCGCTCGGGGTCCATGCCTTCCGAGTCGTTCATCTTGTCGTTGTCCTCGTGGTCGTCGTGGTCATCGTCATCATCGTCAGCCGTGGGAGCTCTGCCCACGGTCAGGTCTTCGGGACATCCGCTGACCTCGGTCTTGACGGAGTCGTAGCTGCCAGAGCTGTAGGGGGGGGACTGCCGGAAGAGGAAGGGGTCACCAGCTTGGACCCTCGGCTCGCCCCCGTCACCCTGCTGGGACGTTCGGATTTCCCCCGGGTTCACCCTCCCTGGGCACGTGTCTGGGTCTCCTGGCGAGATCAGCCTTATCAATGTGCAGCCCACTCCTGCCCTTGCTGGAGCTCTTCCAGCCCCCAGAGCAGCCGCAGGGGCACCGCAGAGTTATCTGGCGAGGAGCAGCACAGGGGCCCCACTCGCCCACCCTGCTCTCCTCGGAGATGGGCTGAATGGCCTCGCTGTAGCCCCACCTCACTTGGTACCCCAAAAGGGCTGTCTGATTCCTGCCAGAAGAATCAAAGGAACGCAACTCCCAGCCATGCGTTTGTCTCATCCAACCAAGTTGGCAGCCAGTGCCCCAACTGGTGCTGCACAGTTCCACCCTCTCCGTCCCCTTTCCTCAGCCCCGAAATCCCCATTTCTGAGTTACGTTCCCCGCTGCGCTTTCCCAGAACGAGGAGTCCGATGCCTAAATTGGCTTAATGCGGTTGGTGTTAAACTACTTTCTCCTGTACGCACAGCTTCTCTGTAATTTCTGAGCCCGGCGCATCTCTTCCAAAACTGGGCGTCCTCAGCGTCACGAGGGCAGGCCAGCAAGACCCACCTCGCGTGGGACGGTGCGCGTTTGATGGGCTGGGTGGATGGGAATGCTAGCCAGAACCAACCAAGAGGGGACCCCGGATTCCTAGGTTTGGCTTCTGCTTCTTTTCACGTGACGATGCCAAGCCCATCCGGGGGCCTCCCTGGCAAGCCCTCCCGTTTCCTTCCCTTGCCTCCAGCTGCCCGCGCCTTCCGACTGCACCGCAGGCGGGCCAGGAGCCAGCCCCCGACGGCCGCCCGCTCAGACCCACCTCGGTTGTGCTTTTGGCTCCGTACTTCGCCCGGCTCCGCAGGCCGTCGGCGCTGCAACTGTCCGACTGGTAGGCCGAGGTGACGTGAGCAGGGGCCAACTTGTCGCAGAGGTTGATGGGCTGGTCCTCCGACGAGGCACTGAAATCCATGGGGGCACCAGCTCCATTTCCGTTCACCTCTGGGTAGGTGGCGTCGCCCTGAGTGCTGCTGGAGGTGGAGGGGTTCAGGGTGGACGAGCCATTCCCGCTGCAGCTCTCCGAGGAGGAATCGTCTGCAACGAGAGAGCCGGGTCACCCGGCGCTGCTGCGACCCCAGCTCTGCGTCCAGCGGAGCCTTTCGCCAGTGCCGGAAGGCCCCTTTTCCCCAGGGGACGCCCTCTTCTCCCCCTGCCCGCAGCCAGTGAGGAAAGCCCCTTCAGTGGGGGGCAGGGGAGGAACTTGCTGGGGGCCGCGCTCCCCAAATCAGCAGCGCCAGGGCCCACAGCGGGAGGATGCTGCAGGAACCGTAAGGGGTGGAATGGGGGCTCCGTGAAGCAGCAAGCGACAAGGCACTCGTTCTGCCCCTTCAAAGCCCCCCAACCTCAGCCATCCAAAAAGGGAGCGCCCAGTGGGAGACCTCTGGGGGAGCGGAGGGTTGCGCCCCTGTCTTAGGAAGCGCATCGCCAGGGAAGGAGGGGCTGCTCTGAAGGGACAGGCTGGAGTGGGGGGCCGGTCCAAACAGCAACACCAGAAAGCTCACTTTCCCCCAGAGATTTTGCAGCAGCGGAAGCCAAAAGCCAGGAGGAGCCCGGTAGCGCCTTTCCGACCGACGAATCTCACTGAAGCTCACAAAAGCTTCTGCCTTTGGATAAAACGTGTTAGTCGGAAAAGGCGCTACTCCTGACGGTTTGCCACCGCAGACTCCCCGGCTCTGCCGCGTCTGCACATCCCGGTTCCGAGTCCAGTTTGGCAGGTTCGCTCAAGTCTGTTTTGCAGGCTCGGAAAACCCGTTTGGCGGTTAGGAGACCGGGCGAGAGGGACGAGCGGGCGTATCCTGGCTGGCCGGCTGGCCGGGGCATTTCCCCCTCATCCACTCAGCGCTCTGCAGCCTCAGCTCTGACCCGGGAGACCCTCAAGGGGGCATTTTCTGCCCTCGAGAAGCCTTCCTGACGTAGAGGGGCGCCCACGCCTCCTCTCTCCCCGAGGATGGGACCCAGGGTGGGCTGCCCAGTGGAGATCCGAGGGGCCTGGCCGAAGCCTCGCTCCCTCCTCCACCGGGGCAGCTCTGGTCCGCCTGGCCTCCAGCCACTGGCCTTCCTGCCGCTGGGATCCCATCTGACCCCCCCCAACCTGCAGACGTTCCTCCTCCTCCTCCTCCTCCTCCGCTGTTGCCGGGCTCTGCTGCTTCCCCGGTTCCCATGGAGATTGCCTACGTGCCAGTCTTTAGCCCCCCTTCCCCCCCACTGGAAACACTTGTTCCAGCCCTGGAATCCATTGTACCAAGCGCACATGCCGGGGCTGGCACTGCCTCCCTGCTGGGCGGCCCGGGAGCAACGAAGAGGCGTCCCGCGCCCAGCCCTCTCCTGGGGGCACCCTTTCCCACCCATCTTCCCCTGCTCCAGCTGCATCTCCAGGGTTGACCTCCATGGCCTCGCAGCCCCAGGCCCACCCCTGAGGCCGAGGCAACCCCTCTGCACAGGCCCCGTTCTGGGCCCTCCCCACAGGCTCAGCAAGAGACCCTGCAGCACACTCCCCCTTCCCGCGCCAAGGGCTCCCACGCGCCGCTTCCTGCCCGGGGCCAAAAGCTGGGGGGCAAGCAAAGGAGGGCAGAGGCGCCCCCGACGTCCTCCCGCCCGTGCCTTCCCCCAAGGGGTGGGACGACTGGGGTCCAGCCGCTGCTGGGGGAGAGAGAACCCCTGCCCTCACCCTCCCCGGCTCCAAGCCAGGCAGGCAGGAGGCACCCTCCAGGTGCTCCGAGCCACAGCTCCCATAAGCCTGCCCTCTGGCCACACTGGCTGGCTTATGGGAACTGTAGTCCAAAGGGTCCGGAGGATGCCAGGTGTCCAGCCCCAGCTCGGCCTCCAAGCCTGTGGTGCCTCCATCCCCACCTCTGCCAGCTGGGAGGATCTATTTGTTTGCGGGATCTCCTCGGATTCCGCACTCTTTAATCTCGATTAATCACTGACCCAGATGAGGGAAGCGCAGGAGGGAGGCTGGGGGGGCTGCAAGGTGATGTGGAAGGAGGAAACTGCCCAAGCAGCAGAAAAGGAGCCTGCCAGGCGCTGTTTGCAAGGTGCCCTCAGGCTCTTCTTAGGTTGGCAAGCGAGACGGGCAAGACATATGCCCATCCGGGCTTCGTCCTGTGCCAGGGCTCGCCTAGATGCCTGGCCAGAGGGCCCCTCCCTTGAATTGCTGCTGTGCAGAGGGGGGGCCGCTGGAGAGGCTCTCCCCGCTCCCGCTCAGCCCCTTCCGAGAGGATCACCAGCTTGATCTGCCCGTGGCTCTTGGGAGGATTAATTCCGCTGGCCCCAGAGCCAAGCGGGCATTGCCACAGCAACCGAGTGCCTCCTCTACGTGCACCCCGGGACAGCCCTCCCTGTAGGCCCGTGGGCTGCCATGGAAAGGGGTAGCATCCCAAAAGGCCCCAGGGCGACCGCGGTGGCCTGGCACTGGCGCCCGGGTGCCGCTGGCCATCCCCACCACCAGAGGCAGCTCAGAGGGATTATAGCTGGAGGGCATCTGCAGGGCGCCAGGTTGGGGACACGGGTTCAAACACCCACCTTGGCAACAGAAGCCTCCTGGCCCACCCCAAGGGCCTCCGGCGCCCAGAATTCAAAAGGTGCCAGCCTCTCATCGTGGAAGACAATTCACTACGGTCTGCTTTGTGAGAGTCTGCGCGGTGCAGCGGTGGAGGGCTGGGTCCACCAGAGCCGCGGGGGGGAGGGGGGAGGCACACCCCATCCTGACCTCCTGAAAACCAGACTCCAGATGACCCCAGACCCCCTCCCGGAGTCACCCCCGCCATCTCGAATTGCACGCTGCTTCCTTTCTCTTGCCCACAAGAGGCTCTTATGTGCGTTCGCCCCCCC